AAAAAAAAAAAAAAAAAAAAAAAACAAAAAAAAGAAAATTATGCTATTAACTGAAAAAAAAAATGGAAAAAGCCTAAGGCTAGAAATCAGTTAAAATTCTGTTAAAAACAGATACCGGATTAAGTATTTTGTATGTTTCCTTGGTCCTCCCATTATCACTATTGGTTCTGCTGAGATACACAGAACCAGGTATTGCACTGATTTTCTGTGAAATATATTCTGGGAAAAAATGATAGATGTTTCAGTAAGCCATCTTTTATTTTCCTCATTTACCTATTTGTTGTTGGAAAATGGTATTTTATCCTGTCAGTTGTATCATTTTAAATAAAATGGTAATTGTCCAGTATCCAGGCAGCAAGTATAGTCAGGGAAACCAAGCAGGAAGTAGAGGCAGGACAATGAGAATTCTGGGAAGAGGGAAGCTTGAGTCTGCAGTTGTGACCTAACTGCAGAGGAAGCAAGATGTGACTGCCTTGCTGAAAAAGGTACCAAGCCATGTGGTTAACACAGACAAGAATTATGGGTTAATATAAGCTATGAGAGATAATAAGAAGCCTGAGCTAATAGGCCAATCCATTTATAATTAAAATAGACATCTATGTGTTTCTTTGGGACTGAATAGCTGTGGGAACTGGGCAGGACAGTTCTACACCTCTTTACCTATAACCCTGATTCATTTCTTTCTTTTGGGGGCTAACACAGACTGCTGTCCACATATAGGGCAATGAATAAATTGGTTAATTTATTTTGAGATGGGGCAGAGTCTAGGGGCTATTGTTCCAACAAAGAGGGGACCCTTGGGCTCCTGACACTGGTCAGGGATATTGTGGAAAAATTCTCTTGAGCAGTGCTTCTGTGGCTCTACCATCAGGTTCATGTATAGGAACAAAGAGAAGTGGAAAAGAAAATTATAGAGGCCATTCCACTGTTGTCCAGATTAGAGTGATCATTTCCATGAAAGTACCACATAGAAGCAATGGTATTGTGAGAACTCTTTCAGGCAGTAGCCTTTAAGATACTAGCTTACTTTGGGCATGGTCTCATGCACTAAAAGTCTAGATGAAAAGTGTGCTTGGCCCTCCTGGCAGCTGATTATGATTCCAGTTCCCAGCGCAAGCAGAGGATTGTGGATTGTTAGCATTACTCTCAGTTTATCCCCAAATAAATAAACATTGTTATATGTTGGGCACCAAAGACATTCCACCTGGAGCTTGTTTTCTTCTGGGCAGAAGATCTTTCTGCAAAGACCCTGCCCTTGCCCTGATGACTGACAAAATAATGATGTCCAAACTGGACAAATAGGATACAAGTATATATTAATTTTCCTTCCTCTGAAAATGGTCTGTCAGTTTCTCTAGGCCTTAGACAAATTTTGTTGCCCCAACATAGCAAATGAGACTTTGGGTGACTTCCCAGGAAGTCGGTTTTCTCACTACTTCTTGCACCTTTTGAAAATTGACTGATTGCACTCCCTATTTACTCAGGTAATATTATTTACCTTCTCACGTCTTTAATGGGGTTGAAGAGAAATAGTTATAGTTTCTTCTTTCTCATGACTTAGTCAGTCCATTTTTAATATAAGATTTAGACTACTAATAGGATAGGCTAACTATTAAAACATTTAGCATATGTTTCTTGCTTGATGTTGTTTGTGCTTGTTGTAATTCTAATTTTTACGAGCTGTGGGACTTCCTTCTGCTCCTTTAGCCAATAGCCTTTAAAATACTGGCCATCTTGGGCATGGTCTCTCTGACTTAAAAAAGCAGTGGTAGACCTACACTTCCTCTCTTGCTTTGGACTCTGATTCTGGCTATCAGCCACTTTTCCTGGTCATGCAGGGGCTGTTGTCTAGGATGGTGATCTGTAAGTTTTTTCCCTTTAAATATATAACCCTTTTATTAACCATGATTCCAAACTGGTGTGGGATTGTTTTGTGACTTACTCCTTTATCTGATGTCCAACATTTGGGTAACCCCCCTATCCCCTACCCCCACCCAGGCTCAGCTGCCTGCCACCAGCTCAGCATGCCTCAAGCCCCCTCCCAGCCGTAGCCTATAATGTTCATTTGAGACAAGTGGAGATAATTTTCTATCATATATCAAGGATTTTTATTATCAGTACGAAAATCATTAATGAGAAATAGTTGTCTAAATCACATTTTGTATGATTGTAAGTCAAATATTCAGAGAGTATGAAATTTAAAACATCCTGCTGCCTGGCTATACTTTCTTGCTGTGTGCTGAAAACCACAAACATGACCAAATTATTTTTATTTATGTGTATATTTTTGCATGTTTGCAATTCCCTTGTGTTTGTATATTCCTCTAACCCTGCTTCAATTTCATATCACATGCTTATACATTTTTAAGTTCTTTCAGAACTGCCTTTTGAAAATGATATTAAAAAGGAGCTTAGATTATTCTTTTTCTTCCAGATTGCTCAACTAGTGTAAAGCATTTCTAGGCACTTCAGCTAGACTGAGAATGTCTCTCAGAAATCCTTACTGTTTATATATACTTGGGGAAAAAACAGCATCATGTGTCTAGTTTGTTTTATGGGCATTCTGAAACTTTTGAGTTGTTTACTTTCTGAGTTTAGTGAGCTTGCCTACAGGATGAAATGTTTCACCTACCTTTTATACATAATATTCTTTTACCTTATTGTAAATGTCCTGTGTCTTAATGAGCTCACCCCTAAAATAGAAGGATCTAATCTCTGAGAAAACAGCTATAAAACTGGCATATAATTAAATGCATTTATATGCATATACCATCAATGCATGCCTATACTAAAGAAAATTAACATACATAATCTCTTTACATGGATAAATTTTACCCTTGAAAAATACAGTATTTGTAAATTTCCAGTATATATATTTTTTCAATAAAACTCAGGTCAAATCCAGAGTATTTTACCTAGGCAAGCCCTCTACTATTTAGCTATATTTCCACCCTTTTACAATGTTAACTGCAGTCATTGAGCTGTATCTTAGAACTCTTGTCATTCATCATAAACAACTGGAAATTTGAATCTTTTGATCTCCCTATGGCAGTCAATTTCTGATAATCAGTAGTATTTGTCAATTATGTATATACATTTTTTTAAAAAATGACAAGTGAAATCATGAAATATTTATTCTCTGAATTTGTTAAGCATGATATCCACCATATTAATTCACATTGTTAGGATGGCAAACTTTCCATCATTTTAAGAGTATATAAATGTATAAATGTAAATTAGTTTCATTATCAACTCATTTTTACAGACTATTTACCTCCCATATCGTAGCATGTATCATATGGAAATGAAGGTAGGAATATAGATATCTCTACAAGGTGTTGATTTTATTTACATTGTAAACAGATATAAATAATTGTTGGATCATATACAGATTTTAATTTCATGATAATTATTATACAATTTTTTGTAATGACTATATAAACTTTTATTCTCACTAGCAGTGCACAAGGATTCCCTTTGCTCTGTATACGCCTAATAATTATCTTATTGTCTTGATAATAACCCCAAATATACTGTAATTTTACACTTGTAAAGTAGCATCAAGATATTTTAATTTGGTTGTTCTCCAAAATATCCTTGTGAAGATGATATAATAAGTATAATCAACATTCAAAGAATGTAAAAGTTAATGGTGATGAATAAAAAACAACATCTTCCAGATACAGCAGAAATGATGAATATGACCTCACAGAGACAATGACAGTGTGCACAAGACCTATACCTACACTAATTCTAATGATACAAAATTCTAGGAATGAAAAGGGGAAGTGAGCAGAAGCTTTTACTCCTAACAAAGAAACTGTTTGAGATTGATAGGCGCCATCAAAAGGAAAGCTGATTTTTCCCAAAAGAACATCACTGATTATATAAATAAACCACATTCAGGGTAGCCTCCATTCTGAAGAGTAGTTAAGTTAGCCAACAAAAAATGAACTTTGCTTTTGTAAGATTTAGTTTTGAGTTGAATTTATTTGTGTGATTTTTTCTTAATTTGTTATGAGAGTTGGTGTCTTTTATTTAATTATTTACTTCAGAAAGAAAACTGGAGTTGAATGTACGGGGAAGCAGAAGGATCTGGAAGACATTGGCTGATGGGAAAGAATATAACCTTTATAAGATTCTTTAAAAGAATAAAAAGAGGGCCTGCGCGGCCCGCCAACCGGGGACGCTGCTCAGCGGCGTCTCCCTTCGCTCCCAAGCCCAGCTGAAGCTTTCTAGATGATCCCAAGACAGGGTTGGCCTGCCCAGGGACGGAGTCTGGCCCCTGCAGAGGAGCTGCCTCGGCCAAGACACCAGGGAGACCGGGCTGGAAGTTTAATTTCTGACGATCTCAAGAACAAAGACAGTGACTTTGGTGCCAAAGCTTCAAGATTGTGGCTTGCTGGGGCTATATCCTCCAAGAAGACCTGCCCCCGCAAAGGGCCGCCTTCTGCCGCTGACCCCCATCAAATCCCATCATGCCCACAGCCCTGTGCCCACGAGTCTTGGCTCCAAAGGAAAGTGAGGAGGCCAGGAAAATGCGGAGTCCTCCTGGAGAGAACCCCAGCCCTCAGGGTGAGCCTCCCAGCCCAGAGTCCTCTCGCCGCCTCTTCCGCCGGTTCTGCTACCAAGAGGCGGCAGGCCCATGGGAGGCCCTGGAGCGCCTCTGGGAACTGTGCCGGGGCTGGCTGCGGCTCGAAAGGCACACGAAGGAGCAGATCCTGGAGCTACTGGTGCTGGAGCAGTTCCTGGCCATCCTGCCATGGGAGATCCAGAGTTGGGTGCGTGCCCAGGAGCCGGAGAGTGGAGAGCAGGCTGTGGCTGCAGTAGAGGCCCTGGAACGGGAGCCAGAGAGACCCTGGCAGTGGCTCAAGCACTGTGAAGACCCGGTCGTGATTGACGATGGCGATGTGCCTGGGCCTCAGGACCTTGAGCAAGAGCGAGTGTCAGCGGAATCCCAGAGCAACCCTGACGCTCAGCCTGTGGCCCTTGCACAGGGCCTAGGGCTCCTCAGCAGACTACCAGGCCAGCCAACTGAGGACCAGTTCCGCAAGATGGTTTCCTTGTTCAGGAGCAAAGTGTCAGGGACGCCCAGCCGGTGACCACCTGCCAGCTGCCCCCGAACTGAGTTTCTCCATTTAAGGATATGATCTTATGCTTCTCAGAAGAGGACTGGTCTCTTCTGGACCGAGCGCAGACTGGTTTCTACGGAGAATTCATCATTGGGGAAGACTACGGGGTCTCCATGCCTCCAAACGACCCTGCAGCTCAGCCAGACCTCTCACCTGAAGAGAACGGGCCACGGGTCATAGAGATGCCAGCCCTCCAGGGTAAAGACGCGCCCCAGCTGTCCTGCCTAGACTTTCCCAGTCTCCAGCCATTCCAAGAAGAAGGAAGGAAATGGGAGGAACTGCAGGTGCCAGAGCTCCAGTCCTGCCAGCAGGTGGCGCTCACTCAGAGTCCTTGTCCAGGAAGTGATCCACCACCCCTAAAGAATAGCCTGGACCAGGAGGTGACCATTGAGATCATGCTATCCAGTTCTGGGGATGAGGACTCCCAACACAGCCCATAGTGCACAGAGGAGCTGAGGAGCCCTGCAGAAAAGCCCCATAGTCTCTCGACCCACCGCAACAGCACGGAGGTTGGAGGCGAGGTGCAAACCTCACAAAAGTCTTATGTGTGTCCGAACTGTGGGAAGATCTTCCGCTGGAGGGTCAACTTTATCCGCCACCTGCACAGCCACAGGGAGCAGAAGCCACACAAATGCTCAGTGTGTGGAGATTTATTCAGTGACAGCGAGGACCTGGATGGACACCTGGAGAACCATGAGGCCCAGAAGCCCTACAGGTGCACTGTCTGCGGAAAGAGCTTCCGCCTCAACTCACACCTGCTCTCCCACCGACGGATCCACTTGCATCCAGACAAACAGCCACCAGTGAAGAAGAGCGAGGAGGATGCCTTGGAAACGGAGGGCACAGGTACCCAAGCCCTGCTGGAGAAGAGCAAGGCTAAGCTGGCCTTCCAGTGTGGGAACTGTGGGAAGGGCTTCCAGCGACACGACTATCTGGTGAGACACCGTAGCCACTGTCACCTGAAGAGTGAGGCTCGTCCCCTTCAATGTCGGTACTGTGTCAAAACTTTCCGGCAGAATTATGATCTCCTCCGCCATGAGCGCCTGCACATGAAGCTCCGCTCCAAGCAGGCTCTGAACTCATACTGAGCTGGACGTGGCCCTACAAACTAGTCCCTGCCTAGCACAAAGCCCGAACCACCTGCCCTTTGCTCTCAGGTAGTGTCCCACTTCTGGTGCCATGCCTCTTCCTCCCCAGATAAAAAGTAGCCACCTGAGCACTCCTTCTACTGTGCCAAAACCCAGGGAGGTGAGGCAACTCTGCATCTTAGAGACCTTTAGTCACATGCTCCAGCCCTCAGAGGGACTGAGCTGCCCCATCCCATGCCTTCTAGGGGTGAGGTGTGTGCAGTGGGGAGCTGGCCTAAAGCCCTGACCCTGGTCCTGTCCTCAGAAGTCAGTTTGAGGTCATTGTGTCTAGGAGAGTGTCCCACAGATGGCCAGGAGGGCCTTTGGGGTCTGGGGATTGTCATGAGACCTGATTTGGCCAGGCCACTGACCATACAGGGATCAGGAGCTCACATTTTAAATGTGTGCACCTGTCCCAACATGTCTTCATTGTGCCCCAAAGATCCTTCATAAATCTGTGATGGAAACTGCCTGTCACCACCCTGAGTCCTGCATTCTGTCAGCCCATCAAGGCTCTGTTGGGCGAGCCAAACCCTGGGACAGAAGCTTCTGTGAAACCATGTCCTTCAGGGGTACCCAGTCCACAGCAGTCTCTTTAGTTCCCTGGCACTGTTGTGACTGTACTAAACCTGAGCTCTTTTAACACCAGCAGGGGGCGTTGTCCTAGCTGTGAGGCTGCAAAGGCCGAGAGCTGATGTCAGCAGGGTTGGTTCTCTGAGGCTAGAAGAGGGGATGAATCATGCTGGGGCTGTCGTCACTAACCCTTGTCTGTAGCCCTGGGCTGCATACTGCACAGAGAAGCTGAGGAGCCCTGCACAAACGTCTTTGCCTTTGTCTCCACTGTGTCGGTCTCCAAACGTAACCTTTTGTACAGGATCCTAGTTTTTGGGTTGGGGCGCTAACCCTGTCTGTTACAGCTGAACCCCACCTACATCTGGAGTGGCCGTTTCCAAATAAAGTCACATCTTGAGGTGCTAGGAATAAGGACTTCAACCCTGGAGTTTGAGTGGACATAGCCAAACCCCAGATGATCTCATGATGCTGTTATCCTGCCTCAGATGAACCGATGTGGACTTGGGGTAGCTTGCTTGCCATCCCTTTGAATGGCGGGCTCAGTCCATTGTCTGCTCTCAGAGCTGTTGTCATTTGCAAGGAAGAATCCTCATCCATGGCCTTTAAGTTCAGAGCCTGGGATTCTGGGGGTAGTTGTTGGTAGGAAACCTCAAGCAATTGAAAATGTGGTCTTACTGTCCTGGCCCACTGGTGTTGACCTCAGTATGGCTATGACTGGACCCAAGAGCTGCAGCCAGGCTGGATCTGTAGGCTGTACCAGCTCTCAACTGTCAGGAAGCCTGAGAAAATGAATTCACGGCCTCTGGTGCTCTATGTCCTGATTTTCACATCAAGAAGCCTCTATTCAGATGCAATCATAGAATTCTGAGACTTCCTTTTTTCTGCTCAGTGCATTGCCCAGAAATAGTAAATGCAATAAAACCACCACACCTTGAACAAGAAATAAACTGTCCTAGTTTCTAACTAGTTCTCTTCTATCCTTGTGTCTGAAAAAGAGAGAAGTTGGGTCTTTATTGGTCAAGGGAGGGCAGACTTCCACATGGAGGCCAGGGTCTTTGTAT